ATCTTGACTCTGAGGAGACCTGTGCGAGAAAGGCAACAGAAGAAGAGGTCTTTCTTCAGACCAAGACCTACGCCTTGGCAGATGTGAGGAAAGAAGTGGAGAAGTGGAGGCCTTCTATGGTCGAAGAGAGGGCGGCTTTGCTGAACTCGGGCGTGATCCGGGCCATCAATCAGCGGGAAGCCGAGGCGCTCAAGAAGGAGGCGCTGGAGAAGGGCATACCGTACGACCGGGTTCCGGGAAAAGCGGTGTTCACGAGGAAAGCTGCTACAGGACGACGGAAATGCCGTGGGGTCGCCTGTGGAAACTTCATGTCGGAGAGGCCTGCGGCGGACACCTACGCTGGAGGCATTGACGCGTCTCAAGTGAGGGCGATGGTGGCGGCTGGAGCGCAGCGAGGATGGACTCTTGCGGGGGTCGATGTGAAGACGGCGTTCTTGCAAGTGCCGCCGGGCCGGTCCAAGGACATCGTAGTGGTCAACCCTCCCACCATCTTTCAGGAGTGCCAGATCACTGAGCCGGGAGAGCTTTGGGCGGTGGAGGGATCCGTTTACGGCCTTACTACGTCACCCAAGGACTGGGCGAACCACCGGGACGAAACCATGGGCGCGATCAACTGGGAGATGGAAGATGACGAGGGCACATGGGCTTGCTGGTTCGAGAAAACCAAGGAGGTGAATCTGTGGAGGATCAAGAGCAGTCGGCACGGACAAGATGAGACGGTGGGCTACATGGCGGTCTACATCGACGACCTGTTGATCACTGGAGATCGCGGGGCTGTGGCGGCGACGCTGCTCAAGATCCGGCAGGTTTGGGACACCAGCGACCCGGAGTGGCTGTCGGAGACAGAGGACCTGCGGTTTTGCGGGTTCGAATTCTCTCATGATGAGCAAGGGATCCGGATGCATCAGGAGTCCTACACGGCGGACCTACTGGACCGGCATCACATCGCCAAGGGTGGCACGCTGGGAGGAGTGGGGATTCCGGAGGAGGAAGGGCCCCCGAGTCCTGAAGATGTGCGGCAGGCGCAAGTCATCACTGGAGAGCTGTTGTGGCTTTCTTCGAGGACGAGGCCGGACATCACCTATGCGGTAGCCGTGATGGGGCAGTGGACTACGAAGAGACCTCGGGGGGTCACGAGGATTGGAGAGAAGGTGCTGCAGTACCTGTGGAGGACGTCACGGGAAGGTTTGCGGTACCAACGTCTTGGTGCTGGAGATTATGGGCCGGACCATCAACAGCATCGTGAACGTCGACGAGATGCAGTGGAGGCCTACGCGGATGCTTCTTTTGGAGCCCATGAGCACAAGTCGATCTCGGGATTGGCCGTGTACTACTCCGGCTGCCCCGTCTTCTGGGCTACTACGCGACAGGCGTGTATTGCGCTTAGTACGGCGGAAAGCGAGCTGGCGGCGCTCATTGAAGCCTGGACGGCTTTGAGGGGAGTTGGTGGCTTGGTGGAGGAATTGGAGGAGAAGCCCGCAGAGCTTAGGCTCTACAGCGACAGTAGTGCGGCCCTGGCCATTGTCAACGGAAGCTCGGGAAGCTGGAGGACGAGACATTTGAGGATCCGGGCTGCGGCGCTTTCGGAGGCGGTCAAGCTCGGTGATGTCCAGCTTCAACATGTTCCTGGGCAGAGCCTGGTCGCGGACGGCTTCACGAAACAGCTTGGGGCCTCACCGTTTGGGCGCTTCTGCACAGGTTCTCTGGAACCGCAGCTCTTCCTCTTTTCGCAAGCAGTTCCGCAGTGCCACCACTCCAAGCTCCTTGACCAGCTTCAGCAAGATGACCACGGCGACGATCACCACCAGCCACCAGTAGCCTCCAAGGTCCATCTCCTTCGCCTCCGTCAGCTCGGGCTCTCACCGCTCTCCACCGCCCCACCATAGAAGCCCAATGACTCCTTGAAGCGGTGATGCCGGAAAGGCCAACGGAGAGCTCAGCCGGGGTGAACCTTTTCGCGGTAAACAGAGTGGTGGTGCCGGCGGAGAGCTACACGCTGGTGAGGACGGGCGTGAAGGCACAGTTACCCCGAGGAACGTGCGGGAGGATCACAACGGTGGCCAGCTTGGCTTTGAGAGGAGTTGAAACGGGATCCGCGGTCATTGAGCGCGACTTCCGTGGAGAGGTGAGGATTTTGGTCAGGAACCATGGACCCCAGGACTACGTCATCGAGCCGGAAGAGGCGGTAGCGCAATTGGTGCTGGAGAAGGTTTCCCTGGCCAAGATCAAGGAGGTGAAGGAGTTAGACAGGCCTGTGAAGAAGCAGACAGAGGAGGTTGGTCCTTCGGTGAGATCGTTGGTGGTCGAGAAGGCAGGTGCTTCGTCAGGGAGATCGTCTATGAATTGGATGACGCCGGAGGTGAAAGGCTTTGGGAATGTGGGTGAGGGGTTGCGGCTGCGAAAGGTTGCACCAGCCGGTGGTGGAGATGGTCCTCCGGAGGTGACAGAAAGGCCATCGCAGGATGAACCTGGTGAAGATGAATGGGAGGTCGAGTTCCGCGAGAATGAGATTAGACTTTCCCGCATTCACATGGTGCCGCGCTACTGGGACTACATTCCGAGGCCTAGAGAGCTTCCACCCGGCATCAACTTTGAGGACTTGGACTACATCAGGATCTCCGAGATCGCTCCGGACGCTGAGAACGGCATGACCTGGGAGAGGATGGTCGAGAATTGGCAAGAAGAGCACTGGGAGAGGAGGACGCCATGGACGGGGTCTTCAAACTTCAGGGTCTTGAGGCGGCCCGAAGCCGGAGTGAGGAGCTCGAGTTCAAGTGGTCCGGGGCAACAACCTCCTGGGAACGGAGGAGGTGGAGAATCGGGATCAAGGCCCTCTGGTTTCACGGGAGGGGATTCCTCGGCGTTTGGATCAGGGACATCGGCATCTACCGGAGGTGGTGGCGGTGGCATTGATGGGGCGGCAAACAAGCGGCCTAGGACGCATGGAGAGGAGATGATCTCGCGGAGGGTTGTGGGCGGTTCGAGTCAGAACATGCTGGAGATCATGCGGCGCGCTTTCTTTCAGGACCTTGAGGAGAGCGCGGTGGTCATGTTGTCCCATCCGCCTAAGGGGACACGGGACGAGTGGATTGATGTGCCCCTTCCTGGCCACGGAGAGATTGGCATCCAGGTCCACAGGAAGGAGCGCGTGAAGCTCTTCGACACGGAGAAGGAGGGCTACGAGGGAACGAAGCGCACCATTGCCTGGTCCGTTGGAGGAGGGCTGTGGGTGGATCTGTCGCCCCGGAAAGGGCGGCGCGAGAAGTTCGAGAAGGGCAAGTGGGTGGGCTACACCATCTTCAAGAAGAGCTGAGGGGTTTGAGCAGGTTCTTTTTCCGGGTGAGACCCTTAAAAGAAGGGGGAGCCCTGATGTTTGAGTTGCGGATGAAATCACTGGGCATGATAGCCCCTTTTTGGCCGAAGAAGGAAAATAGCCTGCAGTTAGTTGAGTGGTATCAACTTGAAGGAACCCAGTTCGCATTTGGAAGTGCTCGCCGGCGATGTGCGGTTCTCACCAGGACTTGGCTAGGTCCCCCAGCAGTGCCCTTTCTCACCCTTTTTTGGGGAGGGTTGCCCTACTAAAATAGACTACGGACAAAAGGGTGCCCATATTCTAACCTCTCTACTGGAGGACCTAGTTGGGCTTTGCGTTGTTTTCTGAGATCATTGGCTGTGGCCCTCTGACTTGCCCGTCTCACTGCGCCCCTTCGCGGTCTCAGACAAAATTTGTTCCTGGAGATGTATCGCGTTAGCTATCGAAAGCCTGGCCTCTTGGTATGACCTTTGGTGAATGGTACCAGGAGTGCGGCTACCCTTTAAGCAATCAATTCAGAGAGCAACTTTGAGGCTTGCTTGCGAATCAGCGTGAGGTTTCGAGTTTTCTTCATGGTCCCTCTTGACCGGCAAATGGGTGGCCCGTCAATCTTTGGGGGGTTCCACTTCTGGATTTCAAAGAGAAGCCAGAAGGAACCAACCCTTTCGAAGGTCCCCAATTTTTGAGACAGGCCCACCTCGCTTCCTGAGTTTCTGGACTTGTTTTGGGAAGACCGTGTTGGGGAATAAAAAGTTCAGACTTGGCCGATCTGCTCAGGGAGTGAGCCACATAAGAAGTTAACCTGTTGCGGGCCCGTGTTTGGCCAAGTCCTCTCAGACTGCCTGCGCGGCTGGCTTTGTATATGTGACCCGGAGGGTTCCGCTGGTGGCTCCTGGTTCAGATCCCTCCCACGAAAACGACTCCTGACTTGCCCAGGCAATCTTTGAGTCTTCAAGTTGGTTAAGAATATGTGTTTTTGTTTCCACTGTTGGTTTTGAAGGGAATCTATCACTACTGCAAACATTATCTCCGGGATCTGAAGCAAATGGAAGTATTCTTTTGGGTTCGCTTGTTTGGGTTTGTTTGGTCAGCGCTCAGTTGCAGCCCAGGTTTAGCTTTTATTTCCTGCCCTCATGGATATTTGAATTCGTGAGGGGTCCATGACCATCCCTGCATCCCTTGCCAACCCCAACCCAAATTGGTTCGAGCGAGGCACAATTGATGGGTGTTGACAGTTTCAGTGCACCACTTTCTGGGAAGTTTGAAGGAAAGCACAGATCTTGCGGGTCCTCTAGGAAGAAGCTCGTATGAAATCCTTGTTTGCCGGGTGTGAATAGCAAGTCATGAAGGTTGCCTGAGTTACTTCTTTTGGGCCATCCACGCAGGCAGGGAGAGAAAAAGGCCGCCATGTCTTCAGAGTCAGAGTAGTTCCATAGGTGTCCTTTTGATCGGTGAGTTTGCGTAAACATAGATGAGGTCCACTGCTTTAGATTGGCTTCATTCCGTTTGGCTGTGGGTCAAAACCAATGGTACCATTTTGGGGTGGGTGCACCACCAATTTTAGTCTATTTTCATGGGGATTGGGATGTTCACTGAGGTACGGGCTTTTGACCCATGGCCATTTACCAGGGAGCCCATCGATTTGTTCGAGCGGCTCCAGAAAACTCTTGGCCGACCTTCGGGCCAGGATCTGCAGCCGCCGCAAGGCTCGGAAGTTCCTTGGGTTCGTATGATCCGCCAGGGTGGTTTGGCGCTTGGGTGACTTGAGAGCGATTTATGACCTGGGTTCTCTCTCTCTATCTCTCTTTTTTTCAGAGGACCCCCCCCCAGGAAAGAAAGAAAGAAAGAAAGAAAGAGTAAACAAGTAGAAATAACCTGAAAAGCTGGTATTCCTTTGGGTTTCCTGCAAACTAACCCTCAAAAAGGGTACTCTGAAAAAAAGTCCCCCAAAAAACGTTCGCTCAACTTGGTTGTTTCGCCAGGTTGGTTGTTTGGTCGAAACGAGACTTAGCTGTGTATGTCATGGCTTTACTTTGCCGGCCATTCAAAATCCCATGGGCCGTTTTCGCAGGATGAGAGTTTCTTGATTGCGTTGCTGGCTAAGGCATGCACAGGGGCTCCAGGTGTGCTCGCAACTGCGGGATGGACCTGGCTGTCGATCAGGCAAAGCTCAGTGAGGAACGCAGGCGGCGGATCTGCAATGATCAGCAATTCTTTCGGCGAGGAATTTGGCTGGCAGGCCACAAAGCTTTCGGCGAGAAATCCAACGGGCAGGCCTAATATTTTTCGGCGAGTTCCTCCGCGAGGGGCTCTCCCAAAAGTCAGGATCTCGGCGAGCAATCTCGGCGAGTTGCGCTGAGCGGCTTGGCTGGCTGCGAAGCACGAAAATTTCTCCTTGAGGCCCAGTTCCACCAAGCCCTGCTTTCGGAGAGGCCCTCGCAGAGGGGCTCTCCTTGAGAGGGGGGTCTGGCCAACTTTTGGGAGAGAAACTTGGGGCGCGATGCAGTCGCCTCTCCAAAAAGTCGGCCAGACCCCCCTCTCAAGGAGAGCCCCTCTGCGAGGGCCTCTCCGAAAGCAGGGCTTGGTGGAACTGGGCCTTAAGGAGAAATTTTCGTGCTTCGCAGCCAGCCAAGCCGCTCAGCGCAACTCGCCAAGATTGCTCGCCGAGATCCTGACTTTTGGGAGAGCCCCTCGCGGAGGAACTCGCCGAAAAATATTAGGCCTGCCCGTTGGATTTCTCGCCGAAAGCTTTGTGGCCTGCCAGCCAAATTCCTCGCCGAAAGAATTGCTGATCATTGCAGATCCGCCGCCTGCGTTCCTCACTGAGCTTTGCCTGATCGACAGCCAGGTCCATCCCGCATTTGCGAGGACACCTGGAGCCCCTGTGCATGCCTTAGCCAGCAACTCTCATCCTGCGAAAACGGCCCATGGGATTTTGAATGGCCGGCAAAGTAAAGCCATGACATACACAGCTAAGTCTCGTTTCGACCAAACAACCAACCTGGCAAAACAACCAAGCTGAGCGAAAGTTATATCCCCTCATTTATAATCATAATCCACTCGCTTTCTGGCCACAACTTGGAGATGCCATGGCGACCGCGCCTTCGCCTCAGCCCCCGGCACAGCCAGAGACCAGATTGAAGGTCTCTTGGGTCGATCCTAGCGCTTTGCGCAAACCTCAGTGCGCCCAGCCATAGCTTTTTGCCACGAGAAGGTGTCCCAAAAGCCTCCCTTATCTTTGAGCACGCCGGCTCGGTACGCTCAGAAGATATGGTTTGGTGCTTTGAGTCCACGGCTATGAGTTTGTGCCGTGCTTGGCTGGGCGTATCTTGGCATATCAGGTTACCGACAAATTGGTGGCTTGGATTGGAATTTTGGGGATTGGAATCCGTGCATCTTGAGGGTAAAAGCGAAACCACTCCTCAACCAATCCAAACCACCAATCCAAACCACCTACATGAAAGCTGATATGTATTTGTCTTTTCCAGACCCTGTATTGAAGCAGTCCAGGATTGGAATCCCCAGTGGTAGAGTGGTCCCAGGCGGTTTTTGTTGTGGCTTCTTTGTTTGTGGCGTCCTTTTTTGGGCCCTCTTTTTTTGGCACCCAGGGCCCCTTACACTGAATAATTTGACACTGGGTGTTGTATGTGTGTGGTGTGTTTGTTTGTGTGTGGGTGTGTCGTTTTGCTTTGTGTGTGTGTGTTGTGTGTGTGTGTGTGCTGGGACTCCTTAGGCCGTTTTCAGGAGAGCATACTTCAACTCAGTGAACCCTGGACCGAAGGGGGCCCCACCAATGTCCCTGGGATGCAAGCCGTACACAGAATTTTTGAGACCTCGCGACAGGAGAGCAGACCAACAGGTCATTGCGCTTGCATTTGAGTTCAACAAACAAGTTGAAGACTCCTCCCCTTAGCAAACTTGCTGGTGCTCAGCAAGGAATGAGGAATGGAATGACCCCTCTAAACCATCCCTTGTAGCTTCCTTTAATGGAATCCCTGGGTTCATTCCCACATTCAATGCTGAGCACCAGCGAGAAAATCAACGGCCGAGCCTTTTTAACCCGTTCGACTGATGGTCTTTGAAAGCTTGGCCACAAGCTTTTCCGCGCCATTTTTCGCCAGAGCGAAGCAGTGCCTTTGGAAGCGGGTGATGTGCGAATATCCGAGGCAAAGTTTTGAGGGCTCCTTCCAAAGTAGCTTCCCCCAGTACCAGGGATCCTTTTATCCAGAAAACCACCAGAAGCCGCAGATGCTGCTGGGTGTGTGTGTGTGTGAAACTCCTCGTCCACGGAGGCATGGCGTCACTGCCGATTCGTATCCCTGGTGAAGCAGGTAGAGACGTCCAACTGTGTACCTGCAAATTTAACTAAAAGAAAACCACATGGGTGTGGCTCAGAATTAAAGAGCCAGGGTTACGCAGGTTTTAGTGTTTGGTTCCATTTACGAAGGTGCCATTTTGGTACATGATTTTGAGCCGTTGCCACATGTCTGACCCGACTTTCCAACGTTTAAGCGTGCCTTGCATCCCAAAGTGTCTGTCTGTGTGCCGGCTTTGTCCCGCACAGGTCCTGTGCCAGAAGATGGCGCGGGCCCGAGTCCTGCGGCGTGACGTCCGGTTTCTTAGGGGGGACCCCCCAAATTGGGCAGGGCTCCTTAACAGATACATTTTGCCCATTTGAACCATGGCTTTTTCCACCAAAATAAGGGGACACCACCATTTACAAGGCAATGTTCGGGTGTATAGAGTAAGAATCCCTGTTGGGTGTGGTTCAAAATTAAACAGGAGGGGCAAACGGCAGGAGAAGGTCCATGTGTCTACTTACCAGGGTTCCATTTTGGTACCGGTTTTTTGAGCCACAGCCACTTGGTGGTTCTGCTTGTGACCCTTCAAGCCCACAAACAACCACACCCGCAAAAAAAGAATCCTTCATTGCCTGGCGTGTCTTGGAAGGAACGTATCTCACCAGTCACTTCATGCCTCATCTCCATTGCCTCGCTGCCCCGCATCTTGGATGGAGATGGGTTTGGAGATGAGTGACCATCCATCCCTTCCTACGTCAGGACCTGTATCCCTTGGTCACTTCCTCCATTCCTTCATTCCTAATCCTTTCCAACTCCCACGACACGAGGTAAAGAGAGTGAATTAGTGGGAGAAATGGAAAGGGGAAAGGAATGGGCTCTCTTCCACGTCACTATCCCAAAAACACCCGCACTCATACACCACATGCGGTAGTCTATCGTCCTTGGGGGGGATGGCGGACTCCTTAAATTTGCCGCAAACACCAAACGGCTCTCTAATCTACCAGTATCCATATATTGTGACAAATCTTTTACTGTGGCCACACGCACATACATATGTTGGGAACCCAGGGATCCTGCATACTTGGCGGGGACACTCCCTTATTCAATGACCGGGTTGATTCATTTGCAGTCGACATCACAAAATCATCGGCCTGACCCCCCCTGGATCTGAGTCAATTTGTCAATTCGGAGTAAAAAGCTGAGGTACGGGCGGGCGGGCAGGCTCAGAGGGACCGCCAAACGAATACTGGGACACCACCTGCCAACTAGTCCATCCAGTGCTGGCAGGTGGCGTCCATTGTGACAGGTCGAGCAGTCACCTTTTGGTCAGCTGGCTTCAGGAGGGAAATGATTAGATGGTAGCCACTGGTGATGTTCGCCCTTTGATCGTGCAAACGAATGGAAGCGGTGCTTTCCTAGAAGTTGACCATGACTTGTGAGTGACATGTAGTGGCCATGTGTTCTCCTATTGTATGTTTCCAAAGCATTTCAACGCCCAGGTGTTGCTCAATAGAGGCAACAGGCAACCCGACAGATACAACCGCCATGCAGTGACCGTTCTCTGGCATGGCTGAAGCCCCGATGCTGTGCGTGTTTTGCATTGTTGCATTTGCCTTTATTCATGCGACTGGACCCCAAATCAAGGATGAGACATTTCAATACAAATCGAATCATTCCACAAGTTGGAGCAAGCAGAGAGATAGCATGAGTGACGAAGTTGGCACATTCCAGCTCAAAGTTGAACCGGATCTCACTCCCTGAGGTCTTTGGACTTTTGTCACCTGAGAAGACCATTCTGGTGGATAACTTGCGAGAAATGGAATGACCCTGATAAACCATCCCTTATGGTTTCCTTGAAGGGAATTTTGGGGTTCATTCCCACATTCACTATCGCAGCAGCAAGAACGGAAGGGTGGACTTCCCCCTCGATTCTATGGGACACTTCCCCATTCTTTTCAGGGATCCGTCATTTCAGAAAACCATCAGAACCCCAGCAAAAAACAAAGAAAAAGAAGAAATAGGAAAAAAAGCAAAAAAAAGAGCAGGTTTTTGAACAGAATGGGGAATCAACACCTAGCTCCATGGGATCCAGCCCGGGAGTTGAGCCCCGAGGCGAGGCTCGGGGCTTTCTGGGCTTGAACGCGGTGCCTCTACGGGAAGTGGACGAAGGCGATTGCTTAGCTGGTTGGACATAGACCTGAACGTGTGTGGGACATGCTTTGAGGGACGGAGCCATCCGGTTTCAGCTCATTTCGTCGCTGAAAAGAAGGGGTCACAAGCTCGGGAGACCTCACTTGACGCTTAAGCAGCTGGCAACTTTGTTGGGACCTTTTACAAAAATTGGACCTTTAGGAAAAGGTCGTTTTGGAGCAACTGAGCTTTTTCTGCGGTTTTTCCCAGACCTTTAGCCCAACTCCTTGGGAGGCCCGCCGCCTGGCCTGCACGAGGAGGAGTCAGGCGGAAAGTGGCGCGGTATCGGGTGGCGGTTTGGACTCGGCGACGGGTGCTTTTTCGGCATGTGTTTCTTGCTCCTCCCCGGTAGGAACTGGCGCGAGGGTGTGGCAGTATGGGTTGTGGGTAGGAGCGCCCAAGAAGGACTGCTCTTTTTTTGAAAGCTGAGGTTTTTCTTTGAGGGTGTTGGACCTGAAAGGGACAAGAAGCAGTTGGGGAAGGGAAGGGGGTTCATGTTGAGGGTTTCTGGGAGTATCAGAGTCACACAAAGCCCACGTGACGATTGACCTTGGTCATGGTGATGATGGGGCCAGTTTAGGGCTGCCTCCCGTTTTAGTCAGGGGTTCTACCCCGCCGTGACAAGCTGGCAGATTTTGATCGGGCGCAAGCTCCCACTACTCGTGGCTCGTTGGTGCGACCCCGAAGGCCCCAAAAGGTCCTTTTGGAAACGGATGGGTGTTGTTTTTTGTTTGTTTGTTTGTTTGTGTGTTTGTTTTTGGTAGTTTTTCTTGGGGGACCCCCCCCCAAACTGATTTGACAATTGGTTTCCCTCTTAAACCGACCAAATGGAGTAGAATGGGTAAAAGGGAAACAGATCAACAGGAGTACCCTCAAAACAAGATGCCCAGGCTCCCTGACCTCCCCGCACCCCAGCCCCCATGACTTCCTGAACGCATGTTTGCTGCGAAGAACGGACATACCCTGGAGTTCAAAGCTTTCGGGCGGGCTGCAGAATCTGCTTTGCTAGCATACCAGTCGCCGGATGATCTCCTACACATCACTGACGCGGTGCGGATCCATTGTGCTCGAAATCCATTTCGCCCCCGAGAAACCCGGGAATGATGATCCCACTGTACAAACGAACCATATTTGAACCATGGTTTCGAATTGCATGAGTTCGTCCACCCGCAGTAGCTTTGTGTTTTGGTGTTTGGTTCCAGGGTTTGGTTCTGTGTCAAGGTTCCCCAGTAGTGCCCTTGCTCACCCCTTTTTTGCTGGAGGGTTCCCCTACTAAAACAGACTACAGAAAAAGACTACAACAAAGAAGGGTTGCCCTTATTCAAACCTCTTTACTGGAGGACCTGGGTGTTTTCTCGTTCCGGGTTTGGATGGCATCCATGGCAGCGCCAGGCCGAAAGGCGCGGCGCCCGCCCAACGCGCTGGGCGCGGTGCTGGAGGCGGAGGACGGCGCCGCGGCCATTCCTTTCGGCGGGCGGCGGTTTTAGCGGCGAGAGCCGACGGTCGGCGGAAGGGGCGGTGGCTTTGGTTTTTCTAGTTTGAGCATTGGAATATTTCAACCTTCTTGGTGTTCCCTTCCAATTTTAGTAAAGGTCCCAAACGGTTGAGCTTGTACGTCCAGGTCCTTAGCTGCTGGTTGCAGCTTTTGTTCTTCAGGATTGGACCCCCAGTTTGAGGATTGGAATCTAGCTTTCGGCTTTTTTGGTGTTCCCTTCCAATTTGTGTAAAGGTTGGAAGGGAGCCGGGACAGGGAGCCAGAAGAATCCAAATTTGGGAGCTACCGAGCAGAGTTCTGGTTAGGGGCATGGTAGTTTTGGTTTTGCCTCGTCAAGTTTGTGAAGCTCTTGAGGGGGACGTAAGGGGGAGGTTGTTGGGTATCCCACGGGAATTATCACTGTATACTTTTTAGGAAGGCCATTTTAGTGGCAAACAAACAGTTTAGGCTTGCCAGAGCCAGTTGTTGCAAGCTTTGGGTTTTAGTGGGGAAGCGCAGCAATATTTGCAGTGACTCCTCCTTGACTTTACGCAGCAACTGTTTAGACTTGTTTTAGAGTGAGGATACATTTAGACCACCCAAAACCAGTAGGAGGTCCCTTCAGAAAGCAGGGCGTTGGATGTATCCCTGAGGCATGGCAAGCTTCCCTTTCACTGTCCTTTCCTTTTGGGATATGTTTTGTGTTGCGCAACCACTGGATACCACCCGTGCGGTTTTCTTTGAGATCAACGGCATATTCTTTTCCGTGGCCATTGGCCTGGGGGTTCGTGGTGGGTGGTGCTGGTTAGTTAGAACAGTTGGTTAGGAGGAGACTTGTTTTTTGGTTTTACATATTTGGGTTCCATGCCAGCTCGCATGGATATAAATGTGACTTGCACATTTCTTTTGGGTCACGCTAAATTTGGTCATTTGGATTGTTTGAACACGTAATTGCAGTTTCATATCACCAGTTGAAGGCTTGGACGTTGCAACGCAGTGCGGAGATGACCGCCGCCCTCCGGACGCTGACTTTCAGTCAGAAAATTCGGAAAATTCGGGGTGTTCTTTTGGAATTCCGGGGGTCAAGCCCCCCCTTTTTCTAGACCCTTCGCAGCCTGGGTTCCCGGACTTGCTGCTGTTTGGGGATCGAGACTCTTGTACGTGGCTTTGAGGGCTGGCAAGGGCAACCTAAGCCGGAGCCCAAATCATTTGCACCCCTCAGAACAATGGAGCGAGAGGGAAATGACCCTGAAATGCAACATGTGATCATCCTGCTTTTTGTGTTCAGGAAAGACTAGACACATGGAATTGGGAAGGCGGGGCCCTGCAGTAGAGGGCATATTGACCAAACAACTATGATGTTTATGTTTATCCTCTCTTGCATTGCAGAGGCCTACTTTTTTGGGTTGGTCACCACCCATTTTGGGTTCCACTACTTTGACTAGGTCATCCAGTAGTGCCCTTTTACTCTTTTTTGGGGGAGGGTTCCCCTACTAAAGTGGATTACAGAAAAAGTTGGTACCAACTTTTTCTAACCTCTCTACTGGAGGACCTAGTTGAGACAACCCATATGGGTCCAGTGACTCTGCTTGGGGTATCGACAGCCGAGGCTCGCCGGAGCGGTGAGACCAATGCAACGGGGGGGACAAAGCGCGCGTTGCAGGGATCCCTTCGTCGGATCCGCTCGCAAGCCGCGCGTAGCGTCTATTTGCAACCAAGAACCCTCAACACCAAATGCCCTAAAAGAAGGAGGTTGCAATTAAACTTTGCCGTCCCCCCCCCCCCCCCGCAGCGCCTTCATATGGCTGGGAGTTTGGGCCGTTTTGTTTTGTTTTTAGTTGGGGGGGGGGCGGAGGAGCGGGCTATGCATGCATAGCCCTCCTGTGCGCGAATGTTAGTGCCGTCATGGACCCCCTAAGGTTGGCTGAATCATGGACCCAGACATGGCTATGCACTGAGTGGCCCAAAGCGAATCGACCGGATCTAGGATTTGAGCTTTGGGCCTTTGGGTTTTGCTGTGGTCCTCATTTTAGTCAGGTGATCAGCTTGCAGCCCAACTGACAGTACATAGGAAGGGTTCAGTATATTGAAGGGTACGCGGGGCAAGCGGGTACAGATGAATCAGCCATTCGGCCGAGAAGGATTCCGTTTCTGAGGGATCTGGAAGATATGTTTTGTTTAATTCAAAACCTGTCTGTCCTCCTAATCATGGACCTCCACGGGAGGGTGATGGAAGGGTGGGTTGGGGGGGGGGGATTCTGGGGGCCGGGGCTCTGAAAGGACAATTCAGCCAAGAATGAGACCCTCAGGGCTCAAACTGCATCAGAACCCTTAGCATGGTTATTCTTGATGAAGGGTCAACGCGATGGGCTCATGCCCGCCATTCTCTCACTTGGCTTGGTTGCTGTTGCCAATGGAAATCCCGATCCAACCCGATAGCGATCATTGTGGAATCTCGACTGGGCCAAGCGATGGCGAGAATGGGCTGTGGGGTTTTATAAAATCGAATTTGCTCCTGATGGTGCGGGCCAAGACTGGGACCAAAAGGCCAGCGAATCTGAAGCACCGGGCTCGCCAGAGCAAATTTCTCTGGACGAGGTCTGAGAATCTGGACCTCCAAGGCGACACCCCTAAAGCAACTTGGAGTGAGCTGGAACGGATCTATGCCAAGCCTCAGGATGGCATGATCGTGATCTTTGGTTGTCCTTGGGGCGAGTTGTTACCTGCGCATGTTTGCTGAAGAGGGCGCCGATTCGGGCGCCGATTCGGGCACTCCCAAGACCAAAGCAGGTTCGGTGACTTGGGTCAAGTTTTCCTGCTCGGAGCGGCTCAGGGGATCGGGAAGGGTTCTGCTGCTGAGAATGGCTAGGTCCCCCAGTAGTGCCCATTTTCCATCTTTTTTGGGGGAGGGTTCCCCTACTAAAGTAGACAAAACAGGAAAAATCAGGTACCCTTATTCTAAGCTCTCAAATCTGGAGGAGCTAGATGGGATGGCTTTTCTGATCGGAGAAGCGTTGGAAGCTTCGGCTCGAGATAAGCCTAGCGCTTGCGAGATCCATGTTCCATGTTTTGCTGATCCCGGTGGCCCTGGCAGCGGAAGTGCTGATCGATGCCCAGGGTGGCCTGCACGGAAGCTCCTGGGAGAGAATTGGGGGGAGGGAGGGAGGGAGGGAGGGAGGGAGGGAGGGAGGGAGGGAGGGAGGGAGGGAGGGAGGGGCTGGTTCGGACACTTTGCACCTGAAATCTTAAACCAAGCTACAAGAGAACTTTATATCAGGTTACCCTTACTTGGTTTGGGGATTGAACCCTGGTTCTCGCAGAGGGTAAATGCTTTTGACTAGGTGGTTCAACCACTGAAGCTGAATCTGATCTGATTGTCTCTGGTGTATTCTGGGGTTGGCAATTCGTTGAGGGAGGGGGGGGGGGGTGGGATGGGACGAGACCGGATGGAATTCGAGACCTGACATCGCCAATTGCATGGTCGCATGTGTACAATCTTCTGGCCCATGGCTTTTTTGGGACCCCCCCCGTCCCCCAGAAAGGCTCTCAAAATTGTATGAACCCCTTCTACGAAGGTTCCCAGCACCATTCCCGGACCTGACGCTGTTTCCCGTTTTTCTGCTCAAGAAGAATCAGCGTCAAGTTCCCTCCATGGCTCGGATTGGTGGTTTGGTTGGATTTGGCCCATTCCTTCTTGTGGAGGGTCGATGGGAAGCCACACCCGAGAGCTGAGCGTTCTTGAAGCCAGCTGGGCCTGGGCCCCGCGGAGGTCGTTCGTGAGATCATTCTTGCAGCCTTCCAATCAACCGCACCAAGGGCGGCTTGCTTGGCCATTGGAATTCACAGGTCGTTGGTCACTTTGGGGTAGTGCTTAGTCAAGGGGGCCTACACCTTACGAACTTCTGCCATGGACCTCGTTCTTCTGGGCTTTTGGTGGTCGTTCCCAGGTGTCCCAGAATTTGTATTTCTGCAAGGCCCCCTCCACAGCTCTTGATCTGAGGCGTCGGTGGGGTCAGCGTGGCGTTTGAGGAGCCCAAGAAAGATGCAACAGGCGGGCGGCCGGCGGGACGGACCAAAAGGCTCCGGTCTCACCCGAGCCCCGAGCTGTACAGGGTGACTTCCACCCTTAGGAGGCATTGTATGGCTTGTTTCTTTATGGCGATTTGGTTTCAAGCAACGTTGCCCAGCTGAAGTTGAGAGTAAGATTGCCATTCCCTCGGCTGACTCCGCAAGCGGCTTGGAGGGCCTTTAAGTAGATGATTCCTGAGACAGAGATGCCCTAAATATTTGATTTCCCTTCACTTCTTTGAGCGGCGATCGGCTACTGGATCATTCTCAAAAGGTCCCTCTGAGTGGGTCAAAAAACCTGGAGCTTAAACAGGGTTCCATTGCCGAGTTAGAGCAACTCGTGCAAATGAAACCACCTCAAAGGTGGTTGCTAGACCTTCCAACGTTACATAAATTTGTGTCACGAAAAAGAAACTGCTCGGGCCGGGCTTCTTGCACAATGCCAATTGTGATTGGTATTTGAGCCCGTTTTGCGGGTATTTGCACCCGTTTCGCGGGTATGTTTCAACATGTTTCCTCGCAACAAACTAAGCTGCACAAAGGCCAAACATGCTCGAATCCAAATTTGCGCCCGGAAAACGCCCGATCAGCAAATGTCTGCTACGAAACACCCAAGGGACACACATTTATGTAACAAATGAAGGTCCAGGAATGAATGGATCCCCACCTAAAGTGAGGATCAATGTCCACCAAAGGGTCCCGGACCGAGTAGAATTCACACCGCGTTTCTTGTCCTTGAAGGGATCCTCAAGTATCGCTTTCACGTTTCGCGGGGTTTTTCAAGACCGTTGAGACCGTTTCCTGGATCCTTACAGGCAAGATCGTGTGCCCCGTGAGCGACCGGGTACCTTTGGGGGACGCTTGCGAATGTGAGGGGGCCAGCTGCGAGAGCCTCGGCCACGGACTCCGCGTGGTTCGACACGTAGGGAATGAGGGAACTTCCATTTGCTTCAGTTAAGGGAATCTTGTCCAGCCAGCTCCAAATCCAAGCTGTTCAATTCTTTGGCACCCGACCGCTGCTTAAAAAGAAGTGCCCAAGTTTGAGCTTTGTGGCGCCAAGATCGGAACCTTCCGATCGGGAATGGCCTGCTTTCACAGGCTAAGGATCGAACCTAGTTGTGTAGCCGGCGCCCGATGCGTTTTTTTCCCCTTATCGCCGGCAGCAGCCTCAAACTGGTAGGTCCAACTCAGCTCTGTCCGTTGAAACATTGCCGAACTCGCGGCAGGAATTGGGATGGGCTTTTGGTAGACTCCGTTCATATAAGGCTTGAGTTCTTCTGGAAGGGAGCGCGCTACCACTCATCTGACAACCTCCCCCTTAAACGTAACAAGCATCCCCGCCAAAAAGGCTCCCAACCCCCAACCCCCAAAACCAGCCTTCCCAACAAAGCAAAGCACTTGGCCTGTGTGAGAGCCACCCAATGTAAGCATGATATCAAAGGGAAGCATAAGCCGGCTTGAGACGAGGTCCCTCCAAATTGCTCATTTCAACTCAGCCGGGCCATGACAGAGGGAGAGCCCTCAAAATCCACCGCTTCAACTTGCTGGTTCCTTCCCCAGAAAGGCTTTTGGGTTTCTTGGACTTAGTGGGGCCTTGAAATTTGGAGAAACTAACGAACTCTCCTATGTTGTGGGTAACCAATTTGGGTGGGTGGGAAAGCTAACACAAAACCTCAATCCATTTGATATCTTCCATTTGACTCACTGCCACTTCAACCTTCAGCAGGGGATTGCTACCATCACAGCCCACTTTTCGGGGAAGCCCGAGGAAGGAGAAGTACTGCTACAGCCTGGACGACAGCAAGCCCAGCTGCATGGAAGAGCCCAGGCGCGCAGCTCCCGAAAAAAAGAATAGGCGTAGAAACCCGCCAAAAAGCTCGCCTTTGGTTTCGGACATGGGCAAAACGCCCAGGCACCGAGGGCGTTTTGGAGGATCGAAGCGCTTCTTTTGCGCGAGCACGTCGATTCCGGGCTGAAACGGGATGACTGTCTCTTAGGGTAATCCTTAAGTTCGGGTGAATTGATCCTGAGTGCAGAATATCTAGGTTGATGGCCTTAGGCAGGCCTTAACTTTGGCCCCAAAAGGAGGGCTGCATCAGGACAACTTTCCGGGGGATTGAAACCGCCAGTTCACCCGGAAGCCTGAATGGTCCTGAATGAGGATATTCAACCCGCTGGCCCAAAGCGAATGGACCTGAGCCTTGGCCTTCTGAACATCCGTAGGCCTTTCATGCCTGTTGCAAGTGAGGTCCCCCAAGGCATGCAAGGATATCAAATCGTCTGGTTGTTTTCTTTCTCGGGCACGCGGCGGTTTTCCGGTGTCAAAGGGAGTAGAGAAAACCGAAGGGAAATCGAGACCGCCGAGCCATGCCGGTCCCCGGCATGGCTCGAGCAGCTTTCGCAACTTGCTCCTAATCCAATTTTTCTTCAGTTTTTGCACCCTTGGACGACTGCCAAGGTATGCGCCAACACCAGGTTTGGACAAACATGATGTGTGGATCCCGGTATGCGAGAGTGAGGAATCTCAGGGAAGAAAAATCAATCGCCGGGGGGGGGGGGTGTCAAAAGAGAAACAACATGTGCGGAACTAGGGAGGGCGACCAGTGGAAGCCGATAGCGTTTGGAGAAGGCCTGGTTCCATGATTTGTTGCCAATGTTCTTGCAGTTTGACATCGAACCCAAAATGCCCATCTCATTTGCTGGAACGCCTTTTCGGGAAATGTGGCTTAGAATCCTTCCCTCAGTTTGGGGAGCAACCTGCGGAACTAGCTGTGAGCTGTTTCCCAAGCCAGCCAAACATAGATACTGCTTGCAATATTTTCCAGGCCCTCCATCATCCAAAAGCGGCAGTTTTAATGGAAGCCACCGGTTTTCTTGCAACCTTTGAGGGGGACCTCTAGTCACTTTTGTCCACTTTACCCGGTCTGCTCCTATGCCAGGATCGATCCGTCTTTGCTGGATTGGCACGGTGTGACCAAGCAAGGGCCCGTGGACGGCCGGGACACTGGTGCCGTGACGGGCCGGAAGTTCAAGTTCTACAAGAAGTCGGAACCTCGCGCTGGATGCGGTACCAAATTTGGTGTTTGGAGAGGGGTCCCAAAAAAGCGCCCCCACCTGCGCGAAGCGGAAAAATCGGCCCTTACACCTTTCTGCTTTCCATTTGGCCCATTTTCGATGGCCCCGAAAGGTTGACCTTCTATTTCCGAGGCTTGGGCATTTGGCTGCAATAAGAGTGCCCGCTGGGAAAACGTTTGGCCAGCTTCAGAGAGAGCCAGACCCCTTAAGTCCTGTTCCCTCACCCTGTTCTTTGCCAAACAAATGTCGACCACTGACCGAATCTGCAAAATGACTAGATAGGGGGGGTGTCTGCTTTAGGGGCAGGGGGCGGCCCAGCCACGCAAACACGTTGTTTACATGGTTTTGGGCAAGCCGCTTCACCGGGTTTTTGCTATCACTGACTTGGCCCGTTCTTCTTTTCACGGCTCCACGGCCGCCAAATTTCTGGGCCAATTCTTGAAAGAAAATAGGGGCAAAGCCACCAGACCTTGCAACCGGTGGCCTGATGCTCCCTGGGTTTATATTATTCCATGGAAATTGGTGGTCACTTTTGGGGACCATGTTCTTCAAAAGTTCAGACTTTTTCTGTCCAATCTCTTGCGACATGCGACGAACTTCTCAGACATGTGTTTCAACCAGAGGCCTGCTCGCCTTCCCGAAAACACTTGGGTTTGTGTGTCAAAGAAGGGGTTTGGGCCCCCCAGAAGTTGTCCTGTCGCTATCCCTTGAAACCGTCCTAAACTTACGCGATCCGCAAGTTAGCCCAGCGCTTAGCCCAACAAACCCCCCGATTAAGCCACTTGTAAATCCGTTCGAAGGTTGCAGACCACTCTCCCGATTTCAACGTTGGTTTTTAGGTTCCGGTCCTTAAAACCATGGATGTTGAGTATGGCGCTCTGGGCCCATCAAGCGCATCAGGTGAGCATAGAACCTCTGCACAGGGCGATGCAAGAGTAAGTTTCCAACAGGTCGACCTTCACATAGACTTTTTCAGCCCGTAGACCTTCATTCCCTTGAACTCTTGTAAGCCCGCGTCATTAAATTCTGGGGGTAGGACACTAGGCCTTCACATCGACCTTCCGTTGGTTTTTTGGCCTTCTTCCTTCCTTCGAGACTCGCATCGACTTTCCCTTGACTTTAAGCCAGCTTTCCTTGAAATTCCTCGAAAACGGTAAGCCGATACTTGCGGCCAAAGTCTGGCCAAGTCAAAAAGACAAAAGCGTCATTTTCATTTGCTTTTGGGACATGCCCCTCTTTGTGGATGGCCCCCCGGGTAGTTTGGGAAGTATTTCTTTCCCGTTTCCGTTTGACACAATCCAACAACCCCCCCAAAGGAAAAGGAATACGAGAGGACAAAACATGAACAAAAAACATATATATATACATATATGAACCAATCCGGTGTTGCAAACACACACAAATTGGAGATACATTCCTGCAATCGCCGAGGAGACGAGTGGACTCCGGCTTTTCTATTCGGACAACCTCAGGGTCCATGGTGGGACCAAAGTGGCCTCTGGCCGTGCGGGACCCCAGACAAAAAATCGGAGCCGCAGGGTTCCAAGCACATGTGTTTTGCCTCACTTGCCTAAAGCCAACCTTTTGACCTTTTGGTTTCCTCTGTTTGGTCCATAGGTCATGGCCCCAAAAGGTTAACCTTTTATTTCTGGGTCCTTTGGGCAACTGAGTTACGCGTTGCGTGCGTTGCATATTTTTCCGGCTGCGTTCCTTTGTGGTGCGGTAAAATTGCAGTGCTCACGGCTTCGCAGGGAAAACTCGTTTGGGGCGGGAAGCTGAGACAACCCCAAAACAAGCAAGTTGAGAAGGTCAGGCATATCAGATTGAACCTCGGATGAGTGCCATATCCGACCCAGATTCTGGACCTTTCGATCTTGGGGAGGGTTCCCAACTTCGCCATGAAGGGCGGCTTGTTATTGTGGACCTGTATGATTGAACAAGGCCATCACAGGAAGGAACATCGCCATGTGCGAGATCCCGACTTTCAGACAGAGACAGGAAGGTGGAGCAGTTTGAGCTGGAGTGAGTGGGGGAGAGAACTACCCCTTCTGATGCTGAGCTTCGGAGGTGGGTCAACCAAGGCTGGTTTCACAGCAGGTGAGTGCAAACACATGTGTGGCCGCAGCAGCATTCACGACATCTGCAAGGATGCTCAGTCAGTCCAATCTGTGAATGCCACAAGGTGAAATCTTCATTTTCCGTTGGCGTGTTATTGTTTGGCAGGGGTGTTCAACACTTGCGAGGTTTAATTCGTGTGGATTAAAACAAGGCGCCCTCGACACAAGCGCAGATTCAGGTCCTGAACGTGGGACCTAGTCCCTCCGTTCCCTTAGTCGTGTGTTTTAGTGTTCGTAGCCTACCGTGGTGATTACACAGTAACATATGATGTTGTTTGAGTTGGTGCTTTTTCCAGGTTGGGTCAAACGATGTCAA